ACAAACACGTACCTTCCACATTTTTCACTTCATACCAATAAAGCTCAATGACATTTCTTTGTTTATTTAAAAGTAGGTGGTGGCCAACTAGAAAGCCCTCGCTACTTTGACTACTATACACATTTTTATAATCTGTACTTTATTTATTTTATTCTGTAAACGTTTGTTGCAATTATACTTTTCTAGCCATGTTAATTTTATGTAAATAGTCTGAAATAAATGAACCTTGAACCTTGAACCTTGATTGCGTGGCATCATGGTCGTAAAACAAAAGTTGAGTCATTTGCATCTTGACGCGTTGGAGTGAACTTCTTTGGTGGGAGCGAGATAGCGTCAATGTACGTGGATTGAAATGGAGATTCACTGTCTGTTGCCGCTCCTTCGAAAGTTAAGAAGTTTGACGGGCCTGCACGACTCCTGTCATTCCTCGGTGACGAATTCGTTCGTAGGAGGCAACTGACGTTATTAAGAAAGATCCGAAACTGCAATCTGCCTAAGAATCTTGACACAAATGGCAACAGTTACACTCACAACCGATGGTGAGATGAATAATTTCAAAGTCAGAAATTATATTCCTAGACGCGAAGTATTTAACAGAGAATTGACCCTTGACATACAAACGCATATTAAAGAGACAGAGACCTTGTAATACACGAACTTTTTCTACCCAGCGTTAATACGGGATTTGTAAAAGGAGAAGCCCTACCCGGGAGGGTACTCGATATATTCCTGGGTGGGGAGGTGCGGCGCGGCCCCTCATACCCTGACCCTGTTTAAGACAAATATCGCTGATATTCCTACCCTGTTTAAGACAGAATTCCGATTTTTGATACCCTGTTTAAGACATTTAATGTGCCTGGTATCAATGCCAAAATCAACGGAATTCAATATTAATTAAAATTAGAGCTTGTAAAAATTTCGCTGTTTATCTTCCAAGAAAAGATATCCTGTTTAAGACAAAAATTGATAAATCGATACCCTGTTTAAGACAAAAATCTCGAAAAACATACCCTGGCTGACCGCACGTCCCCATTAAGCCCTTATAAGGGAGTACCCCCCCCCAGCCCTACGCCTCCTAAGAGCGAATTTGTCTCGCTCCACGTTTAGTAAAAACGTATAGAGTTTCAAAATACCCATCGGGAATAGAGGAAACCTAGATGAGGGTTTTGAGAAACATATCTCTGGAGTTATTTCTGTGGGAGAGAATTATACTTAAAAACAAAGGAAATAGCGCGCACACAGAAGAAAATATTGCCTTTTGTAACACAATCTCATCCGGCTTTCCCAAACCTCAAGAACATGTAGATGGGGAAGTGACACCTCAAAACAGACCCTTATTATCACATCGCAGAGGAAAGTCATCAAGAGATATCCTGATAATAGCTAAACTTTGAAGGTAGAAGATTTAAAAGTGCTAGCGAATGGTAGGAGACGCATATGCCTATCAATACCTTTCAAGGCATAGGGTAAAATATTGACTGGACTGGACTGGACTATTTTTAGACCATTTTTTGGACTATTTTTTGGACCATTTTTTGGACCATGTTTTGAACCATTTTACAAGGGGGGAGACGCACGTTTAGTACTCAGAGAGGATGGGTGCAGTCTACAAGTACTGAGAGAGGGGTGAGGGCAGAGTGTTATTACTTAGGGAGGGGTGGTAGGCGGTTGTAATTGTAAACATTACTGGTTAAAGGAGCTTTTACTTGATCGTAATAATTATCTTAATCAGTTTTTCGACTGACTTATTCTACATCAACATTTTTGCGCTGGACCGCGGCGTTTCTTTAATTTTTTAGTCATGCGAAAGCGAAACTGCCACGTAGACTCTGGACTTTATTTCTTATTGAAAATATCGCGTTTACGATACTCCACCGGTTGAGTTACCAGTCTGGCATAGGTTATGCGTGTGCCTTTTGAGTCGTCTTGTGCACCATCACTTTTCCTTTGTGTATACAATGTGTAATTCCTTTGTGTATACAGTGTGTATATGCCAGACTGGTAACTCAACAGTGGAGGATCGTAAACGCGATATTTTCAATAAGAATTAAAGTCCAGTTTTTACGTGGCAGTTTCGCTTTCGTATGACTAACAAATTAAAGAAACGCCGCGGCCCAGCGCAAAAATGTTGATGCAAGAGAAGTCAGTCGAAAAACCGATTGAAATAATTATTACGATCGAGTAAAAGCTCCATTAACCACCACCTACCACCCCTCCCTGAGTAATAACACTCTGCCCCCACCCCTCCCTCAGCACTTGTAGACTGCTACATATGATGCACGATCCTCGCAGTAGATAGCGCTATTTAAGCAATAGCGAAAATCAGACCTGAAAAAAATCAGGCCTGTACGGGATTCGAACCACTGACCTCTGCGATACTAGTGCAGCGCTCTACCAATTGAGCTAACAAGCCAACTGGGAGCAGGCCATTAAGTTGATTCGTAATAAACCCGTGAAAGTGATAAATCAGATACAATGAAATATATGAAGTTCATATATTTCATTGTATCTGACAACAGAGTATGTCATGTATGGGGAATGTATTGTCCACGAACACGTGGACAAATAAGCATTCTCCATTTTCACATTACCCAAAATACCTTGCGCCTTGGGGGGTAACTTTGGAGCCCTAGTTACAAGCAAAATGACGTAAGGTAATTTGTCTTGAATTTGTTTTAATTTTTGAATAAGAAGTGTTCCTTTCGTGTTTGCCAGAGCCTGTTCGTTTGTCACATGTATCGGAAAAAATGGAAAGCGTGAGGTTTTTCGAGGGGCCAGAAAAACTCCTGGAAATCTGGTGGACACCGATTTTGGAACCTGACAGTGGGTTATCTGGCGATTTGAGAACTATTTCAAGGTGAGAAAACCCAGCTTTATCGTTTTGTGCTATACATGTCTTGTTAGACATAAAACGACTGATCTACCAACTGCCACATACAAGCAGTACATTGTTAGAATGGGAAATAACTGGGGAATATTAGGAGGATTCAGTGCTCACAGCAAAAAGTAAAAGGAAGGTATCTGAAAATACATGTCATCAAAAATCCTAGAGGCGAACGATATTGAGAAGTTAAGAGAACTATTTCACAATGGAGGATGACTCTTAAAACCCTCTATTTTCATGTAAATTGATCCTCTTGGCTTAGCTTTTGAGAGAAGGTTTAATAATTTTTTTATCTTGTTGTTGAGGGTAGAAAAGTGCTGTAACAATGGACGTCATGCCTCCCAGCTACTCCCTTAACAGTATTTATTTCAAAGCAGACAGATGCTCTTAATTTAACATACTGTATCTCTGTGTGGGCAGGCTGTCGGACATCTTTTTTTTGTCAGATAAGATGAGATAGGTATTAGACCAGTATAATTTATTCATCCATTAACAAACGATCAACACTTCATCAAAGTCCTCCAAATGAACATTGGCAGCCATCATCATATAGTTACAGCCATCATCATATAGTTACAGCCATCATCATATAGTTACAGCCATCATCATATACCGGTAGTTACAGTAATATTAATCCTTAAAACATTCGTTGAGTATATCACCACATTGCCACAATACAGAAGTAAGACTTGTTTTTATTGAGAAAGACAAAGCATCAGTCGAGACATACAAAATAATTCGAACTTGATGCTGGTAGGCCTAATAAAGAAAGTGGAAGACTATCCTGAGTTAAGTCTCGATTATTATGTCGGCACCTTCAAGAAGTAATTCAATCAAATTCACAAAATCATCGATGGTAAAGCTTTGAGAAAGAGAGTTCTTTTGTTATGAACAAAAATGACTCTAGCCTTTTATTATCATTTACATCAGTTTTAATCTTGATAATTCATCTCCTTTTAGTTTCCTTAGTCTTGCATATATTACCCTTAACACCAGATAACTTCCGAAGGTGATTGTCAGACAGCTTTTTTTTCTACCCTAGCCAGTAAAAATTTTACTACTGGCTAGCATTTCATTAGTTGAGGTCACCAAATTGGTGACTGGAAAAGAGTTGAGCTTTAGAGCCCTGACTGGAGACTCTTTTAATCCCTGAATGAGGCACACCTCAAGGGAATGAGTGTTAATTTCTCACTACAGTATATATGCATTATTAACCAAGCATGAGGTCAAGATGGCTGGATATTGACCAAGTTCTTTTTTTCTCATTTTTATGGACTGAGATGAAGTCAAGGTCCATAAAAGTACAAAAAAAGGAGGCTAATATTCAGCCATCTTGACTGAACAAGCTTAGTTAGTAAAGGATTTATTATATTTCAAAATATTTCACTTAATTAAGAATCACTTGTTTACATCGAGAGGCTGGAAAGAAAGCCAACCGTGTTTGTAGCACAACAAACTTGCAAGTGTCATTTCTGATTTCTTTATTTTGACTATCTTCTGCCGCTTTTTGTGTTTCCATCACCGAGATTGTCCAAGGATTATGAACACAGTTCTAATTATATTTTTTTTCATGCATGAGATCAATGCAAGCAATCCTGAGTGGGCCATCATGCCTGCTTGGGCAGCCAATCAGAACACAGGATTCCCTTCATATTGCACAGGGGTGCTGTGAGCAGTGTAATAGCAATACGTTGTTCAGCAAACAGCTGGTGGGAATAAACAAGCATATCAGCTAGAGGGTGTAATTTTGATACAACACCAAATTCTCTTTAATATTTTTAACCCATTGACACTTACATGTAACACGTGCCAACGAAAAGTCAAAATTTCGGAGAAACCAAGAAGGCAAACATAATGCGCAGTAAATTTTTAAAAATCAGCTTTTCCGAAAAACAAGCTCCAGTGAAAGAGGACTTATTAAAGAACTTATTTCCGGCGAAAAAAGCGATATGTGCCTATTACTTTTTAACTCAAAAATCAAGATGAAAGATAAAAATCGCTAAATATTTTCGCATGCGTGAAAATTGGCATGTGGATCATAATTCAAAATGGAATATGCAAATTTTTCCGTGAGTGAAGAGATCTTAAGTTCCATGGAATCTATCAATTGTATCCTCTTCAAATGAGTCCTGGCTTAGACTGTTTTGTTTCAGCTGTTCTTTGAGAGCAGCATTTTCCTTTTTCAGTGTTTCCTCGTTTTGAATGAGTTCAGTAAAGTACTCACTAGTAATATCTGTCTGGCAAGCTTTACAATTTAATTCCTCCACAGTAACACCGGCGTCCATAGTCTCTTCCATGGCTGCTTTTGACAGTTCCATTAAAGCAATGGCGCCCTCGCTCCTTCGTTCCAGTTCACAAAGTCACGTGATGTGACGTCACGCTTGAAACGGGTCTATAATTGAGGAAATGATGAGTCAACAGAGTAGTCCAGAAGACGTTGCATTTGAACTGGAAAATTGTCGACTGAAAGAACTTTTAAACAGCTAAAATAATTCGTCTTGAATTTGTTTTATTTTTGAATAAGAAGTCTAGATTTGGTGTTTGCCAGATAGCCTGTTCATTTGCCGCGTGTATTCGAAAAATGGAAAGCGTGGCGTTTTTCGAGGGCCCAGAGAAACTCCTGGAGATGTGGTGGACACCGATATCAGTGGAACCTGACAGTAGTTGTGGGTTGTCTGGTGATTTGAGAACCATTCCAAGGTGAGAGTGGACATGAACAATAGATATCTCATTAGCTTCTTTCGTTCGTCCACCAGCATTTGTTCCTTTCACCATTATTACCTGTGTCTCTTGTGATTGGTTGCCAACCACCCATAAAACGACTGATTGTATAAGCGAAAATGTGGGTGCTTGTTTGAAGATTATTACAGTCAGAACCACGTCTAGGTTTTTTGATCTGACTGTGATTTCACTTAAGCCAGCCAGGTACAATACGGTAACATATGGCAGGCACTCCCTCCGCCATTTAGGGCCCAATCTCTGGGAAAAATTATCCCCAGACTTCAGAGAAGTTACCACCTTAAAATGTTTCAAAAACAAAATTAGATTTAGTTACACTAATGGATAATGGTGCAAGTGCTGTCATCTTTGTAATTCATAGATACATTTGTCCTACTGTAAATACTGATATCATTTATACTTACGCTTATATTTAAATATTTTTACCTTAATTTATATTTATTTCTGTTGTGTACCCTAATTAGAACAGGTTTCTAACCTAAGCTAAGAGGTTTCTTTAGACACCTTAATAAAGTTTCATCATCATTATCATCAAGCTAAAGACCAATAACTCATTAATGGTTCCAACAGATTTTGTTTCAAAAAAGATTCAGATCATTCCTGAGTCTGTGTGGGAATCGAGAAGTCTGTAATATGGTTTCAACTTGGGGTTTTCATATTTGCTTGTATCTAATTATTAGAATTCACGTTTGCCACCGATCATTACTGCGTTTTTGTTATTTATTCTTGTTCATCCGGTTGCATGAAAGGCCCAGCTGGTACTGGTTTAGTATTTTTGATTCGCTGTTAAGTGACTTTTAGTATGTTTGTTCTTGCACATTTTTCCTGATTGTCATTCAAACTTAACCCTTAATTTTCTCACATCTACCAACTGCCACATACAAGCATAACATTGTTAGAATGGGAAATAACTGGGGAATATTATGAGGATTCAGTGCTCACAGCAAAAAGTAAAAGGAAGGTATCTGAAAATACATGTCATCAAAAATCCTAGAGGCGAACGATATTGAGAAGTTAAGAGAACTATTTCACAATGGAGGATGACTCTTAAAACCCTCTATTTTCATGTAAATTGATCCTCTTGGCTTAGCTTTTGAGAGAAGGTTTAATAATTTTTTTATCTTGTTGTTGAGGGTAGAAAAGTGCTGTAACAATGGACGTCATGCCTCCCAGCTACTCCCTTAACAGTATTTATTTCAAAGCAGACAGATGCTCTTAATTTAACATACTGTATCTCTGTGTGGGCAGGCTGTCGGACATCTTTTTTTTGTCAGATAAGATGAGATAGGTATTAGACCAGTATAATTTATTCATCCATTAACAAACGATCAACACTTCATCAAAGTCCTCCAAATGAACATTGGCAGCCATCATCATATAGTTACAGCCATCATCATATAGTTACAGCCATCATCATATAGTTACAGCCATCATCATATACCGGTAGTTACAGTAATATTAATCCTTAAAACATTCGTTGAGTATATCACCACATTGCCACAATACAGAAGTAAGACTTGTTTTTATTGAGAAAGACAAAGCATCAGTCGAGACATACAAAATAATTCGAACTTGATGCTGGTAGGCCTAATAAAGAAAGTGGAAGACTATCCTGAGTTAAGTCTCGATTATTATGTCGGCACCTTCAAGAAGTAATTCAATCAAATTCACAAAATCATCGATGGTAAAGCTTTGAGAAAGAGAGTTCTTTTGTTATGAACAAAAATGACTCTAGCCTTTTATTATCATTTACATCAGTTTTAATCTTGATAATTCATCTCCTTTTAGTTTCCTTAGTCTTGCATATATTACCCTTAACACCAGATAACTTCCGAAGGTGATTGTCAGACAGCTTTTTTTTCTACCCTAGCCAGTAAAAATTTTACTACTGGCTAGCATTTCATTAGTTGAGGTCACCAAGTTGGTGACTGTGAAAAAGAGTTGAGCTTTAGAGCCCTGACTGGAGACTCTTTTAACCCCTGAATGAGGCACACCTCAAGGGAATAAGTGTGTTTTTCTCACTACAGTATATATGCGTTATTAACCAAGCATGAGGTCAAGATGGCTGGATATTGACCAAGTTCTTTTTTTCCCATTTTTATGGACTGAGATGAAGTCAAGGTCCATAAAAGTACAAAAAAAGGAGGCTAATATTCAGCCATCTTGACTGAACAAGCTTGGTTAGTAAAGGATTTATTATATTGCAAAATATTTCACCTGATTAAGAATCACTTGTTTACATCGAGAGGCTGGAAAGAAAGTCAACGGTGTTTGTAGCACAACAAACTCGCAAGTGTCATTTCTGATTTCTTCATTTTGACTATCTTCTGCCGCTTTTTGTGTTTCCGTAACCGAGATTGTCCAAGAATTATGAACACAGTTCTAATTGTATTTTTTTTTCATGCATGAGATCAATGCATGCAATCCTGAGTGGGCCCATCATGCCTGCTTGTTCAGCCAATCAGAACACAAGATTCCTTTCATCTTGCACATGGGCGGTGCGAGCGGTGTAATAGCAATACATTGTTCAGCAAACAGCTGGTGGGAATAAACAAGCATATCAGCTAGAGGGTGTAATTTTGATACAACACCAAATTCTCTTTAATATTTTAACCCATTGACACTTACGTGTAACACGTGCCGACGAAAAGTCAAAATTTTGGAGAAACCAAGAAGGCAAACAATGCGCAGTAAATTTTTAAAAATCAGCTTTTCCGAGAAACAAGCTCCAGTGAAAGAGGACTAATTAAAGAACTTATTTCCGGCGAAAAAAAGCGATATGTGCGTATTACTTTTTAACTCAAAAATCATGATGAAAGATAAAAATCGCTAAATATTTTCGCATGTGTGAAAATTGGCATGTGGATCATATTTCAAAAGGGAATATGCAAATTTTTCCATGAGTGGGGAGATCTCAAGTTCCATGGAATCTATCGAAAGGAAGCAAGACTAAAATGGCCAAGAAATATTTCGGGACGTCAGATTTATTCAAAACAGTATTTGATTTGTTGTTATAAGCGAAAAACGTACGAATTTCTTACGTGTACAAAGCCCACGCGGTAAAATTTATCATGCGTAGATTGTTGTTTACTTGCCTTCATGGCCAGAAATTGCGCCGCGTTATGTTGAAAATTCTGAAAAAACTTTGATTTGAGGCAAAATCTTCTATAAACTATACTTTGTGAACACATTGTTACTCGAACATAATATATACCGGGCCATCGANCATCAGTAGAGTAACACTTTCCTGCCTAACTACCACGGCTAAATGAAATAAATGGATCAGTAGAGTAACACTTTCCTGCCTAACTACCACGGCTAAATGAAATAAATGGTTCAGTAGAGTAACACTTTCCTGCCTAACTACCACAGCTAAATTAAATAAATCATATGTTACAGTAGGGATGAACAGCAAGTAAAGAAATGATCCTCACAAGCGAGCTGCAATTAAAGAATTAGCAGAAAGGTAATTGCAGATTAGGAGAGGTGCGGTGGCCTCATGGTTAGTGTACTTGACTGCAGATTGAGTGGTTCAGGTTTCAGCCTTGGCCAGGGACGTTGTGTTTTAAGGAAAGACACTTTACTATCACAGTTTCTGTCTTCACCCAGGTGTTAATACTGGCAAATTTAATCCTAGTGGGTAACCCATCAATGCCATCATATCATCCAGGGAGAGGGGCGGGCTAGAAACTGAAACTGGTGTTTAGCACCAGCCTGAAGGGCCACTTGGCTTGCAAACAGACTTTACCACAAGTTTTTTACTGCAGCTTGCCTGCAAGGATGGTTTCTTTACTTGGGTTCCATCTGCAGGTCAATAAATGATTTCTCTAAATTATTTGTGATAAAATTCCTGCTCAAAATACACCAAATGACATTATAAAAATTTTCCTTTTAGTGAGAGCAGCATGTTTGTGTCCAAAGAACGTCTTATCCTAAAGACTTGTGGCCAAACAACACTCTTGAATTGTATCAAACCACTGATAGAACTTGCAAAGAATGAGTGTGGGTTTACTGAAGTGCAGGTAAGAACAAACTTTTTAAACCAGGTCTTACACATTTTACAAAGGAACTGCACAGGAGAAATATTTTTGCTGTGTCAGTGGTAAAGGGAAATGCACCAGGCTAATTTTAAGTGCAATGGACTCTGGGTCAAAAGATCTGAGGGCCCAGACATTTTTCTTCTATTTAGATATCAATACCAATACTGTGATATCAGTACCAATACTGTGATATCAATACCAATACTGTGATATCAGTACCAATACTGTGATATCAATACCAATACTGTGATATCAATGAGTTAAAGGGTAAGTCTCATGATTTGATTGACAAAATATAGGCTTGTCTTGAACTCTTAATTAAAGGCTATGCAGTTATGTTGAAGTTATACTCTATAGAAACATCAGTACAACAGTTGAAAAATTAAAACCAAATTAGGGCCATACCAAGTTGAAACTCACAGTCACCTGTACCACTTAGACTGGTACAGGTGCTCATAGCCCAATCTCAAACCCAGAATCTGTTCGGCTTCTTGTCAGTGGTTGGTCACTGGCATGAGACAAAGTGGGGTCAGGTCACGTGCAGCATCAAAACCACCGTTTTTTTTTTTTTACTAGTATTGATATTTTCTGATCTGACCTTGGTATTGCCAGTATTGAATATTTGGTATCAGTATCAGCCCATCCTTACTGGTGGGGTCATCATGTTTTGTTCTTAGCCAACACTCTTTACACTTGCAGTAGCTCTCTCCACTGTGGAGTATATTTGAGTACTTCTGAATTGTTGGGGAGACATGACTAAATGCACAGACTAGCTTCATTCCTGGGGGGAGAAACAATATTTGAAAGTTACACCATCCTTTGCAAACTGGGATTAGCTGCAGGAGGCTGAGCTCTCTGGTTTGTAAAATGATCTTCTATAGCTTACTGTTATAAGGTTCTAGATTGACTGTAAGTATGTATTAACCCGGCAACCTTACTTAACTCTGCCATAGTTGTAATAATTAACATGTATGGAGCATTTGAATCGAAATTACAATAAACTATCTCTTTGATCTTACAATTTTAATCCCTATGTAGGATTTCTTTTACTCGCGCATGAACTACCAAGAACCTAACCTTCAACCTACTCCTCATCAAACATTTCAGCAGGAGGTCAGTATTTTTTAAACAATCATTTCTAATCCTCCACTCTGAAGGATACAGGACTCAGCAATAGACCAGGCTAGCTTTTCTGTGGGCTTTGCTTCACACTATTTCAGTCATCAGTCTAAATCCTGCCTTCAACGCTTTACACCTTACCATCAGTATGCATAGTCTCCCTACTATTTTCTTTACATTTCCTAAGGTGTTTACAAGGAGAATTTGTTAAACAATCAGAGCTTCTTTGGTTGGCAAGAGACCCTGTGAAATGTCTTAGAAGATCTCAAAGTTACATTGCAACCATCTATTAGAAAAAGAGAATGTTTGTTAGTATCTTTCAATTGTTTCATATAGAAAATGAGATCAAAATCACGCTCATAATTTTTAGTGATTATATTTGCACCAAATAGTTTTTAGCTCATATTTTTTATTAAGTTGGTTTACTTAGTAGTTTATTTACCATTCTCATTACCTGCCTGATCTTACTCTCTTTTTTCCTTGGGAAAAGACCTAACTAAAAAGCACAGCAAAACTTATTTGGCTTGCAGTTCCAGGCTATTAAATGTGCAATTTCAATTTCCAATAAAAAGACTAAAGAGAAGAAGCTTTTAGTTCTACACCACACTAGTCTCCCTCGCAGCCGTTTTTTTCGGATGGGGAGCGTTGCATGACATCCGAAAAAATGGCTGCGAAGGAGACTATACACTACACATGATAACCAGCATGAAGAAGAGTGTTTTACCACCCATCTCTAACATTTTGAAAATCTTTTCCTTATTAATTTTGTTAGGTTGAGTGCTTGGATCAGTTGTTTTCTGGTAAGAGACCATTAGAAGTAATCTTTCATGTAACTTCTATCAATCCTATTAACAAAATATTAAATTCAAATTAATTCCATTGAACATAATTTTCAATAAAACTGGTTATTTTAAAACAGCTATCAACCAGTCTTGAGTTAGGTATTGCTTACAAGTAAGAACTATAAACTGCTTTCATCTTTAAGATACCAATAATGTATGAGTTTATTGACAATGAATTAAGGCAATTTGTTTGCAGTCTTCATTTAGTAAAATTATCACTATTCTTACTTTATATATATAGTTTTTAGATCAGATACCATAGTGATAAAATTAGGGCCAGCACTGCCATGGGCCACTTTGTTTCAATGGAAACTTTTTCTGTGTTATCTCTATTCATGCCGTTATCATGATGTTCTAATTTTAGATGGTGCAGGATATGCTCTTGGGCGATTGAATGGTCCTGACACATGGTAAGTAGGTGTCAAGATAACAATTTACCCAATTCAAGAACTTCTTCAGCTAGGGAGCTCTAAAAAATTATGTCTGTGTGTTCAAGTAAAGCAGGTTTTCAACCTAAAAAAAAAAGAAATGAGATGTTGGAAATCTGAAAAGTTGTGTAATTTCACAATTTCACTTCCTGGCAAAGAAAATCATTGCGTTCTACGATGGCCACCATGTTTTAGAAAGTATCTGGAAATGTTTTCTTTTTGAATGTGTATGTGAGGTGGGGAGGGAGGGGGGAATTGGAAAGCAAGATTCTGGTGTCTCTAATTAGTGGTTTCTCTCAAAATAATTTGAAACAACAAACTCCTGAATTGTAAAGTGTACAAATCACAACACCAGTCAAGAGCTCTATAAACTTGAAAGTGTACAGATGTTGATCCCAATTTATCTGCTCTACAAATACTGGTTGACCTATGTCCTTTGCACCTTTCACAGTGACTGTATTTGAGACAATACCTAATTGATTCTTCTTCTTTTGCAGGTACTTATACACCTTGCACAACATTCTTCCTGGAGTAACCCAGCCTGACCAAACAATGGAGATATCTAAACAAAAATGATTTGTTTGTTTTCCTGTCTGGTTTTCTTCTTTTTTATCGTCTTTTTTTTTTTGTGTGTGTGTGTGTCAAACTTTCTTACTTGCAGTCGTAAATACCAATTGTTATGAAAATTATGAAGCATCTATTGAATCCTTAGCCTGCAAACATTTTGATGCTTGATCTTGACCAAGAGGCAATGAACAAATTTTACAAGTCAAGTTATTCTGATCCTGATGAAGTGACCAGGGTAAGAGCTGATTTTATACTAAAACGCACCAGTTTTCAAGTCATCTCTATTTAGTTACAGTATAATTTACTCTTAGTACCAGTATTTGATGTGAGTACTGGTATTCAAAGACCAATGTGGCTTATGGCTTCCCTCCAGTTATCCAAGTAGACATCTATAATACATTGTTAGTCAGTGAGGATGATTCAACCCTCCAGTCAATGTTAATTTGCTTACACTTTTCCTCCTACAGCTAGGTGGTTGGATGTGTTACACTTTCAAGCTCCCTCCTTGAGAAATCCCATCAAATTATATATTTCCTTCATAAAATGTTGGTGTGTTGAAACCCATTGTAATTGATAAGGAGTCTTCTGACCTTAAAAAGAATATTCTAGTTCCTTTGGTAGGGAACATAGAATCATCCTCATAATTGTGTCTTCCAAAACCTCTTCTGTTTGTCCTGCTGATTTTTTCTAGGTCACAGGCATAAGTGAATTTCTTCCTGAAGCCTTGATTGATGCTGCTTTGTTTGATCCTTGTGGATATTCAGCTAATGGCCTCTTGGATGTGAGTTAATTACAAAAATTACTGTAGCCAATCCTATTAGCATCAAAGGATACCTCTGTCTGTACTTTGAAAAACTGTACACACAGTTCACATTTCCCCTCAGGCAGAATTTTCATGGATAGGTCCTGAGGTAGAAACCTGGATTTACTGGTAGTCCTTTAACTTGAAACATGCTGAGTGGTTACCTCAAACTGAACTGGTCTTTACTTTTCCTTCAACAGAACAGCTACTTTAACATTCATGTTACCCCACAGAAGGAATGTTCCTATGCCAGTTTTGAAACCAATGTTAAAGTGGTTAGTCAGTAGGCACAAAGTCACAATTCAGAGTGTTATTTACAAGTGTTAGGTCATTCCAACAGGACTTACATCAGACAAGTCAGTTTTGGTCGATAAGAAATGGTTGTAAATGTAGCTCATTCTTAACTTCTTGTCCTTTTTCCTCCTCATGATTCATCTGCTTGACCCTGGATTAAACAATACATGTAATGAGATACAATGAAATATATGAAGTTCATATATTTGCGGTATTAGATACATATGATGTACGATCCTTGCAGTAGATAGCGCTATTTAAGCAATAGCGAAAATCAGACCTGAAAAAATTCAGGCCTGTACGGGATTCGAACCACTGACCTCTGCGATACTAGTGCAGCGCTCTACCAACTGAGCTAACAAGCCAACCGGGAGCAGGCCGTTAAGTTGATTCGTAATAAACCCGTGAAAGTGATAAATGAGATACAATGAAATATATGAAGTTCAATAGTGCTATCTACTGCGAGGATCGTACATCATAAATACATGTAATAATAGTATACACATTAATAATGCCTTAAAGACTTTGCTTGAAGAAGGATTAAGGAGACACTCAGCCCTTAAACTCCAATGAGTGATAAAGATCTTTTTCACTTCATACAGTACCAGAGAGTGTATTTTCCCAGAACATAAATATGAGATTAGACAAATTCAGCAGCTAGAGAGAGTTGTCTCAAGTTGATAAGCACCAAATTTTATGGATCAGTGAAGTGTGAAGAAACTTAAAAGGAGAATTTTCATTCAGATCTTAGGGGAAAGGGTTAGGAAATAATAATAATATCTGACAAACCTCTCACTGACTTCCTACGCAAAACACCATATAAAGTTTTGAAGACAAACATTCAGTAACATTAGGCCTGCAGGTTTTATTACTTAGTGGTATGTGGTAAATTCTTGGTGATACAGATTAGTTCCTAACCAATTTTACTCACACCAATGTTCAGAGGCCTTTCGAAAACAGTAACAAGAATTTAATCAAATTTTAACTGAAATGATAAAGCATTTCATCACAGAGTTCTTCATACCTAAAAAATGACTTCCTTCCTCTCTTTCATAGTCATGCTACAAGGAGCTGATATCCAAAGTTCTTAAAGCTTTTAAGCCTGGACGATTCCTCATGACTTTGTTTGCTAACGAGGTCAGTACTAACATAGGTCAAGTCTGTACTATAGCTTATTGCCCCATTCAGCCAAAGCTCACCCTGGTTTCCATAGCATCAAGGGACTAAGATGATGACCTGCCTGGGTCTTGAACTTGTGACCTTTGACCCAGATTCTAGCATACAAAACATTAGATCACTGCATCTTGCACCAGTACTATCATTCTGCTGTCATATTGCTTGGACCCCTAGAGCGTGAAGATTATTTTTGTAGTATTAGAATTCTCTCCCCAACATTAATAACTGATTTGTACACAGGGTGCACCTTGTGGTTTTTCATACAAGACTTTTCGAGAAGGATCTATACCTGGATATCAACTGGATGATCTTCAATTGTCACAAATGAAGATGTACAACCTGACGTATGGCCATTACAGGAGAATCGAAGATAAGCTTCAACAACCTTAACAAGTTTTAACAACCAAGAGGCATACATTGTGCACATTTGCTTTGGAAATTTTACAACCAGTGGTACACTAAGGCTAATTAATGTACACTCGTGTACAGGTACGGTTTTTCGGTGAAGAAATGTGGTATAAGAAGGGGGAGAATAAAAATCAACTAGAGAAAATTCTCTATGCGTGACTGAATGAAATATAACCTAGCAGTCAAATAATTCTCTATTCTTCATGGCCTAAGGGACAGAATCTACATGTGATTTAAGTTGTAACATTTGGTAATGTCTGGTGGCAAGTAATAGCCAAACTCTATTTAAACTTGATGGCTAATCAGTGTCTTGGCTGTTGCTTTATAATGTGAAAAAGAACCTAAGGTGAATGTTAAGCTGTAATAAAGTATCTTGTGCATCTCAATGGCTGCTTCTTGATATGTATCTGTTTATTTTCATCATTTATTTTCCAAATATGCTTTGTAGAGTACAAATATCATGCGATATTTGTACTCCAGAAATATCTATGAAATTTGTCCACACTGAAATAACAATTTGGCCTGTTGGATAATAAATCTCTTATTAAATGTTTTGTTCTGTAGTATTGCTGAGTATTTTTACTTGTTGTTTGTATTTTGACTCGCCCTACATGCTTGTCAAAATACAGCACAACTCGTCAAAATACTCGGTGATACTACACAACAAGATGTCTAATAAGATATATTTATGAGGTTGATACTATATAGATCTTACGCCTGAGTAAATGGTTTAAAGCTGGAAGTACGATGAGTAAGGGTCCTCATAAACCTCTCATCTAAATGGCCAAAGAAGTTTAAGTACCATAGTCTGCAGTTCCAGTCCGGATTCAAGTTGAGTCAGAGTTCAAGGTCCATACTGTCGGTTATGGACCAAGTTTTTTCTTCTCAGATTTATGGCCCAAGCATGAGGCACACAGGAAATAAATCTGGGCAGAATAAAACAGTACACACCAAGAAAAGGAGGTTAACAAGATATTTATGACATCTCTGAGTTCAAACAGAGGGGGAAGATTTCAATTCAAACAATTTTTTTTAATTTGGTGGGCCATACAATGAAATATGGGCCACTTAACCTTTGAACTCCCAAGGTCCGATTGTTAATCCTATTTCTGATGTACAACTTGCGAGAAGGACTATTAAAAGAAAACATGGCACTACCAATAACAATTGTTGTTTTAGTCAAAAATTTCCTTGAGAGAAAGCTAACATTTCAGTAGAATCACTAATGATATAAACTTGATAAAAATGACTTGATAACTTGATGTCTTTCAAAAACTTGACTTGTTAACAATCTGATGTCTTCCTACAACATCCTAAATTTTGAAGCAGTAATACAGCTAGTAACACGAAGTACGAGGTGACCACAAAGAGTGACTTCCAAAATGATTATAAGCAGTTCTCAAAAGGAAAAGGCCATCAGTTTCTGTCACATAAACTTAATAAAAAAAAAAAAAAAACTAGCAAGTAACCCATCATGAGTCTGTACGATGACTTTGATTTCAGTCAAGTCACTGCACTGTTATCCATCCTTACCTCAGTAATACAACACAATTAGGCCTTGCTTGTGGAAAAAAATGAGAGTGGCCTTCTTGTTCAAGAAATCAAAGTTTGCTTGCCTTCACACTTCCTTGGATCCTTTCAATTCCCAAGATCTGATTATGAATTCTCCCCTCTAGCTGCTACACATTTCCTTGTCAATTGGTTATGAGAATTTGGTGTTCAATCAAGGTAACTTCTACCTGATAAGTTTGAGTATTCTCATTAACTGTTTGCAGGATCATGTATGGATATTATAGGGAGAAGTTACAGGTTAATCACCTCTGAGAGTTTAAGGATTAATTTACCAATCATAGCAGACACTAAATTAGAGATGCATTGAAAACTGTCACAGCCATTGAATGCAAATGTACTAAAGTGTCCAAACTATTTTTGTTGTAATTTTTCTTTCCGAACTATTTTTACCATATTTTTCTTTTACCTGGTGCCAGCAGCAGCTCTTGGAGCAAATCTTTTTTTTTTTACTTGCATGACGACTTCACTGAAAAAGAGGGACTGCTTAGTGTTGGGCAAGACTCGGATTATCGGTACCTTAATGTGTATTTTTGCTCTCAGTATAGCGAAAGCTCACATGTACAACCAGTTATGCCTCTAGCTAAGTTCAAAGAATTAATATATTTCTTCATAAGAGATGGATAACCATTAGATATAGTCAAACATATATTTTTAACTCAACAACAACAACAAATAAAACTTTATTTATATTTTTATTAATTTGAAAATTATTTTTTCAAATTGAATGGAGTTTAATTGACTACTTACCATTTAAACCTATTCACTAACTACAACCAGTAATTACAATGAGAGAAGTGATGTGACTACCAGTAACATACATAAATAATGACTATCAGGAAACTTATCTACTAAACATGGGGTTGCTTATGCAGTCATTACACTTCATAGTGGTTTTAATGTAACACCACTTTCTACTATTTAGGGACATTTTATATACATTTGATAGGTGCATTACATAAATGTTTTGTAATTGTCAGCCATTTTGTAGTTGAGCTAGCTAATGACTGATACTAACTTTTACCAAGGACTACCGTAAATGCTCGAATTAGCACCAAGCCTCAAATAAGCGCCCTCCTAAGGCTCAAAAATTTGCTCTAAGCGCCCCCTTCAAATAAGTGCCCCCCCTCCCCCAAGAAAAAATGAGTTTCGGTACTCAATACGATATACCAGACGTATATGGTTCTTTTAATAAAATGTGACATTGTTAAATAGTATAAATAGTAATGTCCTTTCAAAGTTGCACGGGTTTGCTTCTCATTTCCTTGATAGAAATATCCATGTGAGCACATAGCTGCTTCACTTTATTAATTTCCTCGTAAAACTTTCAGGACATCCCGCTATTGGACGTCGAAGATGCAGCTCTTATGACAACATTGCTTGAGGACAGTGATACAGAAATTGAAGTTGATTGAGGATCCAAATGCTTAGGAGAGACACGATATTTCAATATTAAAAATGTGTTTTTATTGTATGTTTAATTGAAGACAATTGCACATTAACCGCAGGGTTTTGTTTTTAGACAAAACATTTCACAATAGCAAACACATAATTTTGTCAGAATTGTTCTATTGCAGAAATAAAAGACACTTTTTGACGAAAAAGTCTTAAGAATGTTTCGAGTTCACAAAAAGTAGTTTTCTATAAGGTTTTTGAATTTTTATGTTGCAGTTTTGTTTTAAATAGAGATAAAGATAGTGTCATTTTGAGGCTAAAAATTGATAAACAAATTAAGCGCCCAGCTTCAAAGAAGTGCCCCCCTTCAAATTAGCGCCCCCCTCTCGCCTTAGAAAATTAAATAAGCGCCCCTGGCGCTAACTCGAGCATTTAGGGTAAGTATAAATATGAATTCCTGACAGGAAGAAGAGACTGAAAGGATTTTACATCTTAATGACAAAAGTGATTACTACTCAATGTTCCTCTTTTTCATAATAAATTCAACTGGGTGGTTTGATATGCTGACTTTACCCCTACAGGGCTCGCCACTAACTTTTCAACTTACTAGCCATGTGGCTAGTGACATCTAGATGTTACGACAATTTCAGTTTGTTTACTAGCCAAAGTGGCTTGTGGAAATAAAAAAAAAACACGAGCCAAAACTAAATTTCTACTGGTCTGTGGCTTGCGGGCTACTGTTAGTGTCAAGCCCTGCCCTAAGACTTGTACAACAGTATACACTTTCTCCACACTGTTATCTACACATCTCTTACGGTGCTGACATGGAGAATTTGTTGATCAATAAAAAAAAATAAAATAAAAATAAACTTTAATAGCTAACACAATTACTGGTAACCCTGCAGTTTACGTTGTGGGCTGTATTAAGAAGAGGTTTTGACTAATTGCTTAAAAATCCCTACTGGCAGGAGGCAACCAGTGGGCTGTTTACAGAGCGCAGACAAGGAGTTGAACTAGGTGCAACCGAGAACAAATCCAGTGAGTGGCAGGGTGGAGGACTTGAACCCGGGCCACTGGATTTCAAGTCCAGCACCCTAACCACTCGGCCACGCCGCCCCCATCAAGAGCTATCAATCAAGAGCTTCTTTAATCGACGATGGCTTGCTTTATTCTCCTGACCCTAATGTGATTCAGAGGTGATACTGTGGGGATATATTAGAGGCAAGTCACCAATAGGGATTAAAAGGTTACAGAAGTGATTAACTTGTAACTTCTCCATATGATATCCATACATTATCCAGCAAATAGGTAATGAGAATACTCCTCAACTATCAGGTGTAGGTTGTTATCTTGATCTAACACCAAATTCTGGTAACTAACTTACAAGGAAATATGTAGCAGTAGAAGGGAGAATTAACAATCAGATCTACAGAGTTAAAAGGTTATGGAAGGGGAGAACTGAACTCAACCTTTTCTACCACAAACTATTTTTTTTCATCAAAAGAACATGTTCATCTCATTAGAATGTGACCTAGATCCTAAAATGTAGAGTACACTATATACAGTAATAGTTACAAAATAATAATAAGTAACAGCTCATTAGAACTCTTAAACAACCCCTTCAAATTCAGTGAAAGATTAGGTCCTCCCAAACATTACCCTTTTGCACCTCACCTCAAACAGCCCACCATACAAGGAGCTGTTAATTACAGTCTGTGTTTCATCCATAACAATGCACATAGAGTCATAGTGTTCATATGACATATGTTCAATCCAATCATTTAACTGTTGTTAACCTGTCAAATTCAAAGTACAGCCAGAACAGTAGCCCTCTGTTGTTTGTTCAGGCACACCATAGGCTCCATGAAGAGTGAAACTACATGGACCACTGCTGTTCTCTGATGCAAGTGACAGATACTGCTCATGGCTCTCACAAAGTTTATAAGCCATTGTTTCAAAAGCTTCTTTCACATTGGTACAGTCTTTAGCACTTGTTTCTAACCAACACATAGAATTCAACTCTGCAAATTCCTGTTGTGAGTAAAAAAAGTAAAAAAAAAAAAAATAAATGAGTATGCAGCTGAATGGCAAAGGTGCAGGACTTGTTATCTAGTGGTTCTGGGTTTAAGCCCTCCACCTAGGTACAAATCAAACACTTTCTCTTTTGCCTTGAATGTTAAATTCCTTAGCTGCATTAGAAAATAGTCAACCAGTCTGCCTCTAACTGGTTTGGATTTTAAATCACTTGACGATCAAATTTTATGCATACCCTTATGTCATCTTCATCTACTTCTCTCTTATCTTCCAAGTCACATTTGTTACCTACTAAAACAGCAATCGTATCTGATCCACTGTTGAAAAATGCAGAATTTGACACAATTAATTAGTGGCATTTAGGCTACATTTTTGGCCTTTAATAGTGAAACTAAAAAATATTAATTATCATCAAATGTTCAATAATATGTGATGTGTAAGGGTGTAGGTTATTACTTTTTGACCATGGTTAATCTGCACAGGCACAAATGCTGAGAAATTTGATTACCTTTTGTTGTAAAATTCCTCCAACCACTGTGTTTGAATATTTTCAAATGATTTGCGTGATGACAGAGAGAACACCACGAGTGCGCCGTGAGCGCCCCTGTAATAGGAGTTGGTCAGTCCATTATGTCTGAATCTCTCTTCACCTGCCGTGTCCCACAGTTGAAGCTGACGAAAATAACTTAACAGTGTGTTTGGAATTCAGTTCAGAACAAAAGTGCAATTCAAATGATTGCTGAGAAACCAGAACCAAAGTAATCAAATCAAAGCATAACATCAGGGGCCCACTTGTGTAGGTTTAATTTAGTTCATACAGACCACCTGCAAATTATGCTCATCGAAGACACAAATATCGTAATAAATTTCCAAAACCTAAATAACACACATGCACAGAAAACTAACCAACATTTAAAGGTTAAAATTTTGACTTATGCCCATCTCCAATACTCAGCTTGACACCAATACACAGACTGACATTTGCTAAAGGAAGAAAAGGTTGACGTAACAATCACCATGTCAGCAAATTATTTAGTTCCTTGATTGTTGCCTAATCGTTGCACATTCCCGGCTTGCGCGTACCTTGACTTTCTTCCCGTCTACTTCCAAGTCGTGGATGAAAAAGTCGACTCCTATAGTCGTAGGAAGTCTTTTATCAAAAACATTCGAGTGAAATCTTCTAATCAGGCTGGATTTTCCAACGGAACTATCTCCCAAAACAAGAACCTTGAAAACGTAGTCATGGTCCGACATGTTAACATTTCCTGGCGCCCAGTCTTTTGCAACTCACTAAAAAAAAAGATGGCGGATGTAGCTGCACGTTGTGATGTAGCAACGGTAAAGACTTGTAGATAGATTTCTTGTCAACATTTGATTTAGATGGCTCGATTTCAGCTGCAGAGAACTTACGGATATTCCAGAAAGTTGTTACTACGTTGGAATCGTTGTGGATATAGGATTAAAATCAATGCAAAGGTACAACTGCAAGCTCATAGTGTATAATTTGAACAGAACACTTTCAAATTTCACTTGATAGTTATGTTATGTTTCAGTCTATAGTATCTCTTGTATTTTAATCTTCTTCTCTCTTGAGACTTGCAAATAAGTTATTTCTCTTTCAATTTTTAAAAAAATTTCAAGCACGTGTGAGAATTTAAAGAAAGATATTCACCATGATCATGATCGATGGTTAACTCCAAAATTATGCTCGGATCCAAAGTGAAATTGCGTCTAGGAGGGTGGCAAAGGGGGAGTTCCAATCACACATCACGCTGAATTTTTCTATTAAATCACGCATCGTGGAGATTTTTTTAAAACAATCACGCATCACGTTCAAAGAGGTAAATACGCTAAGCAAATACTGTAAGATTTCAACTTTTCGGATGTATTATATTGCATCCAAAGTTTTTTAGGCAAGAGTACCATATAACCCCATACATTAATTATGCATTCATACTAGTAGACTTTGTTTCTAAAGTTTTGTCGTGAAAGACAAAGAAGTGAAATGCATAATTAATGTATGGGGTTATATGGTACTCTTTTCGATTTTTATTCTGAAATGAATTGTGTTTCGTTTGTCATGTTGCTTTTTGTTAGATTAATAGAGACAATGTGCTTGTTGAAACTAGAGGCTCTGAGAGCATTCACTCGGGCCTCCTATCACAATATCCCCGTGGGTCAGGGGGAGAGGATGACTGACATTCAGACCACCTCCAAGGTCAAACAGCATTCACTTATCACAGAAGTCATATTAGTTAGCCATATGAATCCTGTATCACCCGCTTGTAAAATAGCAATCACACATGGATGGATAGCACTGTCCAACCTTTGAACAACTGAGGCTCTGTTGCATAAAATGCTCCCTCTCCCACTATGAAGGAGGGGATGTATTGTGTGAAAAGCTCAAACAGTGGCTGCCATTTTGCTTGAGTGTGTCACTGTATTCAATCTGTTACTTTAGATTGATATCAGTACCTGAGCTGCACCCACCCCTCCCCCAATGCCATAACATTCAATTATAAAAATGAAGGGTTAATGTTGTACTAATTAGGGGAGGGGTAGGTGTGCAGTTGTTCTGCTACTATCCCCGATCCTTTACTTGGAATTTATTCATGACTGTGAACTTCTGGAATATTTCACAGCTTCAATTAAAATTGAACTTGGAATTTATTCATGACTCTGTGAACTTTCTTGTAGAATATTTCACATCTGGATAATGATAGAGATATTACTGAGGGTGAGATTCACTCTCCATTTCTAAATCACAGCAGAGGAACTGATCAGCAAGCAGTTTCTTCATTATTGGAGTCACCACTCTCAATGCATTATATGAACAAAAACCATAATGGTGAAAGAATCTACCTTGGCAAGTACCCCAGTGTGACATCAATTCTTGGTCAAACCAAGCCTCCAAATGAACATTTTGCTTTGCTGAATTGGAGGAAAGCTCAGATTTCTGAGCTAGGAAAGAAAAAGTTTAATAAGCAAGCTAAAATCACCTTTAAGAAGGGACAACTTTTTCATCAAGTAAGTAATTTATAATGTATGTTATTGCTTCACCTCCAAGGAATAACCAGTAAATTATAAGGGAGAGTGTGTTTATTTTGCTTCTTATTTGAAACAATTTCTGTAGAGAGAGAAGCATTCACATTTTTTACCTCTAAGAGTGACTAGCATGTTATTTGTTCTCACAATGTCACACTAAATCAATCATTAAGCTAAAGAAACTCTTGATTATTAAACAGATTCTCCTTCTCAGCACCTTAGGAAATATAAAAAGAACAGTATGGAGAATATGCATACAGATATTAGGGAGTAAAGGGTTATTAATAATGATATATTTTACATTTATAGGCTGTTCAGCTGTACTTCAACAGCAGTAATGTACCAGTTATAGAAGAAGGTTCCAGTGATGCTGGATACTGGCAGAGTGTCAAACATGTGTTAAAGGACATTGAAAATGTGGTGGCAGTAGAGAGTGCTGTGGTGCATCCTTTGCTACGGTATGCTGGGACTCTTGACCTTATTGCAGAATATAAGGGTACGCTAAGTGTGATAGACTGGAAGACTTCAGCAAAACACAAAAGTAACCTCAAAGACTGCTATTCGTACCCTCAACAAATTGTGGCTTACGCTGGTGCTGTGAATTTTGATGAGAATTATCCATTTCAGGTTTGTTTCATTTCATTTTTGTTTATTTTTACAAGAGTTCATGCTTACTAGCATAGGTTGTAGACTGAGGGACATTTGTTAACACTTGCATTCCCATGAGAGACCATGAGGGCTAGAATTTGTACTTACAATGTCAATAAAATGTCAAGCAGACAAGTGACGAGAATAAAGAAAAGTATAAATTAGGGGATTATTAGTTGATCCAGTGTGAAATTCTCCAAACCAACATCAGAGGAATGGTACAGGAGACAGCAAGGATAATTACTAGATAATTGTTACAAAAAATAGTGTTGCATGACATGCGTGACCTTCTGGAAGCGGTATATTTTGTAATGTTGCTATAATTAGACCTTTCTTAGAAAGTTCT